TATATATATTTCATTATTTATATTAAAACAATAGTAGTAAATTTGTGCTTGCGTAAACTGATATTCATGAATAAGTGCACACTCTGTTTTGTATTACCAAAGAGAGCGTAACGGTGGACTCAAGGCGCTTTTAGATTACTGCGGAGTTGCTCACTCATTTATTTGCCTATTTTGAAATACTAATAAAAAGCTGATGTGCCATAAAACTGTTTTAAAGATATACCTACAAGTACGATTTGTGATAGATTTATACATATAAAAGCCATAAACAGTTGTGAGTGCTCTGGATATGTCATTATTTACACCCCTTGGAGTGTGCTATAGATGAGATGCAGTTTAATAATGCCAGTAATGGAGGCATAGGCTTGCGTGAAATGTCTGCCGGCCAGACAGCAGTTAACACCCAACCAGCCACTGTCCATAGCACTGTCCCTTAATGACATAGAATTTGTAGCAGCACACACAGAGCCGACAACAAAATCAGACCGAATGGTGACTAACTAATGCTAGTGAACTGACAAGCATACTGAGTGACAGCCAAATGGAACCTTTCCAGAAGGACTATCAGGCAGGGGTTGATAAGGGAATTAGAACACTGGGAGATTGAGATTGTTTTGGGACTATGGGACAAGGGATTGTGACTCTGGGGGTATAAAGGAATTATGGTGCCTCATTTCAAGATTCGCTGAAGGTGTCACTAAGTTCTGAGCCGCTTCTGATCACATGTCAACAATACCTCATAGAATAGAGCTTCTTATTCCCATTTACCCTGCACATTCTATAACACATAATACCCCGTCTGGTAAGAAACTGGACACAAGTTTCTATTTTTATAGAGACTGTTCATAAAAACGAGGACAGTGAAATTAGGGGCAGGCAGGTGGGCACAAGGAGAATGGGCACTGAACAGATGTAAAGTGATATGCAAAATACTGGTTGGTATGGGAGAGGGGTGCTAGGGAGGACAGCCCTGAAATGGGGAACAAGGGGCATGACATGGTGGGGTATGAAGAATGGGCAAAATTATAGCTGGAGGTCAGGTGATGGGGCAGAAAGCATGAAACAGGTGGAAAAGCATGAAAATGGATTGCATTATGAATGGGATACTTGAATGACACAGTGTTACATGAATGGAAAGGGCATGACGTGAATGGCTGCAGAGGAAAGGAATGAGACTTGTGGCTTTGGTGGTTTAGAGAGGTCTTCAATGAATAACAAGGGGGTAGGCACAGAAAAAGGGGCATTGGATGGATGGGAAATTTGAAAGTGGGCTGCCGTTCTCTGGGGTGTCAGGGCATAGAGTGTCCTAGCCCAACCCTAGATACAACTGTTAATTCTTATAAACAGACACTCTGACACTCAAATACATATACACCCCTACATTCCTATACAGATATACCCATACATATACACACCTACATTCCTATATAGAAATCCCATACATATACAGCCCTACATTACTACAAAAATATCCCATACATATACAGCCCTACATTCCTATACAGATATCCCATACATATACACACCTACATTCCTATACAGAAATCCCATACATATACAGCCCTACATTACTACAAAAATATCACATACATATACAGCCCTACATTTCTACACAGAAATCCCATACATATACGCACCTACATCCCTACAAAAATATCCCATACATATATAGCCCTACATTCCTATACAGATATCCCATACATATACACACCTACATCCCTACACAAAATATCCCATACATATACAGCCCTACATTCCTATACAGATATCCCATACATATACACTCCTACATTCTTACACACATACTCCATGCAAAAACACTGCTACAACACATACAAACACTTCCCACTAGATCAATATATCCAATACTCCAACACACTCAAGGAGAAGTGAAGCTTTTTCATTCATTAATTGATTTTGGGGAATAGTTATTGAATTTGTTTGAAGTCTGGTGGCTGCAAGCAAAGTATTTTGATGTCAGACACTGTATATGCCCAGTGCTTCTCTATGACAAGCAGTGATAGCTGAACATACACTATCAGGGCCGGTGCAAGGATTTTTGACTACACAAGAAGCATTTTGCCACCCCCTTCATGCCGAAAAAAATGAATCTTCACCTGTGTGTCTTCTAACACCCCTTTTGACTAACTTACCCCCTTTAGCGTTTTATATCCCATTTTCTTAATGTCTTGCCCCCTTTTCCCGTTGTGTGTCTCCTTTGCTGTATTTTATCCCTCGTGTGTCTCTTACAACCCCCCTTGTGTATTTTTTACTTCCCCCAGCCCCTTTGTCGGTCTCTTTCTCCCCACCAGCCATTTTGTGTGTCTTTCATCTTCCTACCCCTTTCTGTGTCTCTTTCTCCCCCAAGCTCCTTTGTGTGGCTCTTTTTCCCCAGCACATTTATGCATCTTTTTACCTCAGCACCTTTGTGCTTCTCTTTCTCCCCTTTAGCCCCTTTGTGTTTCTTTCTCCTCAACAGCCCCTCTGTGCATCTCCCCCATAGCCCCTTGACCCTTTGTGCATCTCTTCCTCCCCCCAGCCCCTCTGTGTATTTGTCCCCCTCTGCATTTCTCTTTGTGCCCCCTGGCCCTCCTGTGCTTTTAAATACCCCCCCCTGTACATTTTATTGCCCCCCATCCCCTCCGGAACCTTTCATAGACCCCTTTTCCCTTATGTGTCTTTCACTGCCCCCTTCCCCTCCTGTCCCTTTTATTGTCCCCCCTCCCCTTCTATACCTTTGATTGTCCCTCTTCCTGTATCTTTCATAATCCCCCTTAATGTACCTTTCATAGCCCTCCCCCCCCCCGTGCCTTTTCTTGTCCCCCTATTCTCCTGTACCTTTTATTGTCCCCCCTTATTTTAAAGCATTCCTTTAATAACAAAACTATCAATATTCAAGATGTACTTTTTCCAATATTTTGTCCAGGAGATGGCACTATTACAACATGCATTAATTAATTCCTGGTATTTTATTTCACACACTTGGAAATCATATAAAGAGCTTTGATTTACTATCTACGTGTGAAAATGTGTCTCTTTAAATATTCAAAATATACAGAGCATGCACTGTTACCATTCAAGAAAGTCATTCAAAGTTTTGGTTTCAATACGTTATACTATTTTTTTTCTCTTTTATTGATATTATTTAAATGTTAATTTTAAACATGTTTATTTTCTTTAAAAATACAGTAATATGTAATGCTGAGTAATTAGTCTTGGAATCTCTATTGGGAGACACTTAGCTTTAATAAATGATACATCAAATTATATTTGATACCTAATTTTTTTTTTTTTTTATCTTTATTTTTGCTGTGCAGGTAAAAAAAAAAATTATAGTAGAGAAAATCCCAAAAACTTAGGGTGTGTGGAGAGAAGAACCAAAGTCTATCTACCACAACACCCTCGGCTAAGGGTATGCCCACATTGGGGGGTATGGAATCCCCTGGTGTGCAACAATCAGAAAAATCAGAAAAATAGTAAAATAAAATAAAATAAAATAAAAAATACTTTATTGAAAAACGTATAGAGGCTATAAAAAATACAGGGGGTCCAGGGTAGGGGGATGGCCCATGGTGTGTGAGGCTATAATAGCACAATAGGAGGCAGCAAGGCAGATGCAGTAAGGGGTTGTTGTATGGCACAAAATATGAGACAAAGGATACCTAGGAGTTTATATGCTCCAATTTACATATCCTAGTAGAATATCTTGGTGTAACATGTTTCAGGAAAATCCTTAGTCAGAGTGTCTGCACAGGATATAATCAAACTACTATTATGGGAATAACACCCAATAAGATAAATCAAGTGTGGTTCCCTGGAGTTTGTGACAAGCTGTAAAACCCGTTGAGTAAATAATAGATGAATCGGGTAGAAGGTGCTGGCTACACTAGTGAGATGAATCTGGGATCAACGATATAATATATAGGTAAAGAGAAATACAATCTAAAAGAAATTCCTCTAATATATATAAAGATACCCAGATAACTCAATTCGTCTAGATAGTAGTCAGCCCCACAGTTCAAGAGTAATGGAATGCTTGCAAAAGCAGACAGGGTAACAACATTAGAAGTATGTTGCTAAAATGTAGCAAAATATTATCAGATCTTTACATAATTCTGTATACCCTAAGATTGTTACTTCGGGAAAAGGAAATGCAGTGTAGCACTACTCTGAGCTGATTAAAGATGAAACAGAGCTCAGAAATCTGCCCCTGCCTTCTAAATAATAAAAAACAAAAAAGAAAGAAGGGGAGAACAGCTCCCAACCAGCAGGCACATCACCCACAAAACCCCACCCCATGCAATGTAGGTGTGCAATAATAAAAATAGGTTGAACTTCTAAGTAGCACTGGAGAGAGAAATCCGTCTAGATCTTAATCAAACGTGTGGTAAAGTGAAAAGTGACTAACTAGACTGAACTTCAAACTCACTCAACTAAATCATTAAGAAAGAGAGAGCCGCCTAAAATCTAAATCCAACATTGTAGGTAACGTAAAGAGGTACTCAAAATAGGCTGGACTTCTAACTAGCACTAGAGAGAGGAGTCCGTCTAAATCTAAATCAAAAGTTTAGTAAAGTGACTAGCTAGGCTGAACTTCAAACTAAGAGCGGCCGCTCTTGAAAAAGGCGCCACACAGCGCCGAAACGCGCGTCGAGCTAGTTGAGTTAGTTGAGTTACAAACTGGCTCCAGGTACCCCAACGGCATTCCTTGAGCTGCTTGGCTTGTATAACAAATAGGGTAGTTGCTAGGCATTGCACATTTTTTGGCAAATTAGGTGCAAGATAAAGTTACATGCAGGTAGTATATTCAGTTGACGTTTAGCTAGGTACATGCTTAAATATGAGAGATATAGCATCACCCCTTAGATCCCTATAGCTACATATGAATGCAAGTAGTAAGGCTAGAAAATTAAAACAGGTAATATTTCGACATTGCCATAGTTATACTGAGACAGGTGAAGACAATTTAGGTCATATTTAGAGAGTCCCCTTGTGACTGGTTAATTCATGCCCTCTGTGGATTCAGCTTGTTCACGCTGTTGTCCGGTTGACAGGTGCTGCACGACATACCGAGAGTGATGTGCGGCATCCAGCTCGCTGGACTTGGTCCCTGGCGTGTCTATAGGGTGGCGTGGTGCGGAGTGGGGGCTGATGGTCCCTGCTGTTCGGGCAAGCGCTGGCTTGGCTTGCTGTGCTCCTTTTCCCGCCGCTAGTTGCTGTTCCATCCCCTTACCGGAGCTGGGAGCTTGAAGAGTCACCCGAGGTAGGTGTCCCATTAGGGTGCCAGGATGCATACGTGCGGCTGGACTTTGTGGGTGTCTGATCATTTGGTGCTGCTGAACCGCGTTGGTAGCTGCGTTTGTGGGGTGGACATCTTTCATGCACTCAGATCTTGGGGTTAGGCGCGCGGTCTCCGCCATCTTAGAGTCTGCAACTGGTAGTGCTGCTAGGCCTTAGTCTCAGTCGTAGTGGTCGGGGCTTCAGGGTGAGGATCGGGATCACCCGCCGGTCCAGAGGGGGGGAAAGGAGCCGGTTCCTCGAGGGTTTAAGCCCCAGGTTGGACACTGTTCAGCAGGATAGCGGGGCGGCGGCCGTCCGCTCCACTCACCGCTGGAGTAGGCCTCAACTTCAGCATTGAAGATTTCTTCACCAGGGGACTAATATTCGGCGAGCAAGCCTCACCCTGGGTTCAGAGCACCCTGCCTGTCGAGGGCCGCTGTTGCTGGCCAGTATTTTTGTTAAAAGTCGTAGTTTTGTGGCTGAATGGCTTGGTTTTTGCTGGAGCTGGTCTGTCTTGCGACCGTCCAGCTCGGCGGTCCGGCCCCGCCCCCCCTTGATACCTAATTTTAACACATCCTCCCAGCAGCAAACAAAGAGTTTAGATGTAAAGAAGCAATCAACGAATCAGAAACAAGTATGCATTAAAACCATAACAGGCCCCTCCTACATCTTCTTCCTTTGCCACTGCCGCTCAAGTGAGTCTGCTCCAATACTTTAGCCTTAGACTTTTATATTAGAACTTTGTTGACCTGTTTATCTCCCCTGTCTCCCTCTGCCTCTCCAGTGTCGTGCCTGAATACCCTTCCTCCTCCACACACATAAATCCAATGACTCTTCCAATCACATATAAATGGTGAATTCAATTTCAGATCTCTTATCCCTTGACCCTCTACTCCTTTTCTTGGTGTCCTTCCATTGGTGTCTGACATTCAGACTTTTGATGTCGACTAGGTCTCCTTTTCACCAGATGTGGCAACTTTTTCTATCCTTCATTGTACCAAAACCAATGTAGGTGCAAAATCCCAGTGAGTTTACAAACAATACCAGATACTCAAAATACCAGATACTCAAAATACCTTAACTCACACCAACAAGTCTAAAACACAAATGTACACAGGGTGGAGTATCTTACATAAAGTTAGAGAGAATTTATCATATATAATTCTCTCTAACTTCATGTAAGATACTTCACTGTGTGTATAATTGTACCAAAACCCACTCTTTTTTATCCATATTTTTCTATGTCTCCCAAATTGTGTGTTTCCCACTTCATTCATGCTTACATGCATGCAAAATCTCCTCTTCACCACTCTCGTAAAGGCCCTCTCCTGATTTCTTACATATGACCTCACAAGCCTTCTTCTTCTGTGGCTCACTGGATCCGCTATACCCTCTCCTTGACGTGTGTCAAAGACTCCTTGGGCACTAATTAAGTCCAGGCACAGTGGCTTCCTATGCCTTTTCTTCAAGAAGCATGATATTAAATATTTTGACAGCGGCTGATTGGTCGTGGGAATCCATGTTTCAAACCTTTTATTTTCATCCACATCTTCATGCTTTTTTGGTTCCTCAGCTTTAAAAGAAACCTCCTGCCCTGTGTTAAAATTAGAGATTATAATCTAAATTTCAATAAAGACAGGAGGCAAATATTTTCCCACCAGCTTACCTTCCTTGCTTTTCCTCTAGGTTGATGTTTTTCATGTGGCATATTGATAATATGTAGTGTTTCGTGTGATGTATGGATGTATCGAAACTGCTCTTCCCTTACCAAATCTCATGACAGCATGTCAGGGATCTGGGAATATGCAGCAGGGTGTATGTGAATGCAAGTAAATAAGGGCTGGTGAGAGAGACAGGGTGGGTTCACATTACAGCCATGCACATTGTTAACAAGCAACGTTGGTGGGTTAATGTAAAGAGATTTCAACGTAGGTACAGACAACGTAGATACAGATGGAAACCTGCCTTTAATTTTGAGGTGCCTGGGTGACCTGCACTCTGTACACTCGTTTTAGTTCACGCCTGCTCTCACAAATGCTTAAAAGGATATTCCAATGCCCAAATACTAAAATTTAAAAAATCACCATTTACTAGATGCATGCATTTAAGAGTGCCTTTTTTTCATTTGGTGTACATCTAAATAGTTTGCAAAAGCTACATCTCTTGTCATATTTATTATTATTTATAAAGCGCCAACAAATTCCGCTTGGGTTGAATGCACAGGAACAGAAGGTGTTGAGGCCCCTGCTCAAACAGGCTTACATTCTAGTGGGACTGGGGTAAAGGGACAAGAGGTAAGGGTAGGATATATTTAATGTACAGGAAAATTAGGTTGCTAGAATAGTTTTCAATAAAGGCTTAGTTTTTTGAGCGGCGGGGCAGGGGGGTTGGATGACAGGTGACAGGAGTCAGGAGACTAGGTGAGTCTAACGGAGCAGGGAAGGGAGTTCCATAGAAATGGCACAGCCCTAGAGAAGCCTTGAAATGAGCATCAGAGGTGTGACTAAGATGAGAGGATAGACGCAAGTCTCACTTATAAGGTTTCACTTGAAAAGACCCAAACTGGAGAACATGAGTGAGATAGAAAATGTTTCCAATTCAGCTACTTTGGCCTAAAATGTGCTACTTCACCTGTCTATTAGTAATCTAATTTTCAGGACAAGTGGTAAACCAATATTTCTGTGCCAGAAAATGGTAAACTGGAAACATTCTCTAAGTCTGTTTTTTTCCACCTAAATATTTAGAACAAAAAATTCAAAATCATTTGTTCCAACTTCTCAATTCCCACTTTGTGAGCAAACCCATCACGGTTTCTCACTACACATCCAATTTCAGAAATGCCACTTCCTGTGAAATATATACAATTAATTAGATTGTAAAAATATTTGGGAGGTTATGCATGAAACGTCTCGTCTTTAAACCGTATACTCATATTAACAGCCATTCATGTCAATATCTCAGTGAAATAAATTAAACCTCACGCTACGAAGTGGTTCAGTGAACACCAGAAGATAAAACAAAAATGATTGCATTCATGAGCAGAATAAGAATATCTGTTATTATGGTATGTGTCAATTTTAGCACACACAACTGTACTACCCTACCAGTGTGTTCTAGATCATCCTTTTTTATTATGCTTTCCCAAAAGCTACCAGAATGTAGCATCCTTGAATGTCAGACTTAAAAATACGTCATAGAATTAAATTAGGAGGAATTAATCAGATTATTCTCATATGGAGCAACTGGTCAGTGCTTCCCAATAAAAAAAAAAAAATATTTAAAAAATAATTACTAGAGAACTGGAGAACTCTTGCTCTGAGAGAGGAAATCCTTGTGAGTGTCAGCTGGACAGCCAGGGGGTGCCCCCTTCCTGTTTTATTAATGTGCCTTAAATAAAACAGCACTAGGAGGGTTCTCCTAAACACCCGTAAAGCACTCCAGCAAGTAAGGGCCTCTAATGAAAACTAGAGCTATCTCTCTGGTTGGTACTATGAATAAACAAGAAGATTAGAGTAAACAAACGAATTTTCTCCGTTTTATGATGTTGATGGTTCCTGTAACGGCACCCTCATCATAAAAGGGTTAAACCGCCATTTAGTAGATCTTCCCCTTCCAGAGACACAGGCACAGCTACTGCAGAACACCAATCCGCCGAACAGGAAACCATATGAATGCCGTAAAGCAGTTGAACTGGAACAGCATACAATAAATCCCCCCAAGAACGAGACAAAGCTCCGTGTTGAGGGTCAAGCAGTGAACAGTCAGAGCTGTGGGTTTATTGTGCTTATGTACACATTCTTACACATTAGTACCACCCACAGGGTTTTGGAAAACAACCAATAAACACATACAATACACTCAGACACTCCCACACAAAATCCTTCCCTCTGCCTGTGATACAATTACCTTACACAATGGGTAATGTAATTATAACAAGCAGAGAAATACAATTTTTCCACATTATTCATAACTTGAAAAGTATGCATCACATTCACATTCAGAATCATCATACTCCAAATACAAACATATGTCAAAATCATCCAAATTGGTCCGGTGGTTCAAAAGATAGATCGTAGTCCTTTGTGACCAAAGGAAGCATGGCTTTTCTGCCCAAAACCAGTTCCACAGAGTCTTCTATCCTGGAGATAATTGGGAAGTAATCCAATTATCTCCAAGGACAGAGGCAAAACTTCATTGAACACATGGCAGCAAAAGACAATAAAACACATAAAAACATATAACTGTGCAGCCATTGCACAAAACAGGTACATTCAACATATCCCCAGATAGCTCAGATCTGAGCGCACATTATTACTGAATGGTGCTCAGAGCACACACATACAGTTCAATTGCCATGGAGCCAAAGTCTTTCCCATAGTCTTTCATTATACGAATGGGCTCCATGGCATAGCTATCTGGGGTATCACCGCTCAAACAGGGCAAGCACCAAATGACCTGGCTTTCATGTCTTTGCAGGGGAAAATCAAGCCTTTTAACATGGTGCCATAATCCAAAGGCAACAGGCGAGCAACCAGGCTTCTCCAACGCAATGTGGCGAGATTGGTCTTGTCACAGTTCCTTTGGTTTTTCATAATTTTTTTGTTCTCATGTATTAATAAAATATGTTGCTAATAGTTCACATGTTCTTAACTTTGTAGTTCAATTTGTAACAAAAAAAAGCAAATTTAGTTTCTTATTTGCTAAATAAGCTCTATTTTTCTTAAGCATAATACTTCTAGACACACTGCATTTTATGTTCCCAATATAACAAAATTACTTTCAGTTTATAAGAGTACTCAGCTCTTCATGTTTCCAAAAATTACTATTTTGTTTCTGTGGGGAAAAAAAACACAGAAAGAAATGTATTTATTTTTTACCATGGCTTCAACATTTTTGGAAATGTTGCATGTCTACATATATTACAATGTGATAAAATAATAAAAGCTGAAAAAAAGGATCATGTCCATCAATGTCAGTGTTTAAAAGCTGATGTCAGAAGTCAGTGCCACATCTCTTAATGGTCCTTCCTATAACGTAACTTTATCAGTCAGATAAACTGATGATGATGCTCTCCATGTAAGCTAGGACACAATAAATAAGATATCCAAGCATAGGTATTGTGACAAACTCCCCTTCCCATGTGAGTTTTCCACGAGCTCCTGGAGGAGCCTGCTTGCCAACCTCCTGCCCACAGACTATGGGCCCTGCAAAAGTCTCCGTTCGGGTATTTGGACTATATGGTTCGGGACCCGAACAGCCGCACGAACTGGAGACCACCCAGGAGCTTGTTAAGCCTAATTGCTACTTTGTAGCAATTTCCACCGCAGTGTTCTAAGTGTTCGTCTGGGTGCCAGCATTTCCTATGGATGACCACGAGATGGCAGCCATCTTGTTCGCACAAATGCAGGCAGCG